AAAAAATCAAAAAAATTCATAGGTGGAGCTGGGAGTCATTACAGATCAGCACCTCAGCACCATAAGGGAGGTGTTTCTTGTTACAGTCAAAATGTACATGGCAAAACACATCACAAAGAGGACCAGCCACTTCTCAGGATCCATCATGAAAGCCCAGCAGGATGAACTCAGTCCTGTGTGATACCCTCTCTCCATGACTACAAGGAATGTCACCTAAGAGGAAAAAAACAAGGGTTCAGGTTGAATCATATTGCTAAATACATGAAAAGTATCCTCATTAAATAAAGTCTCAGAAAGGGTGATGAACAAAAAATGTGTATTTATTTAGGAAAGTCTAACTGAATGCAAGAGAAAGGTAATAATTAAAAGAATTGATGGTATTTCAAATATAGTGATTAAAGTTTATTACATTATGTCAGTGTCTGCTTTGCATTGCTGTGACCAAAATACCTGACAAGAACTACTTAGAGGAGGAAACATTTATTTTAGCTCATAGTTTCAGTGGTTCAGTCCGTGGCTGGCCAGCTCCATTGTTCTGGGTTGGAAGTGAGGCACAGCATCATGGCATCAGGGCATGATAGAGGATCACTGCTCAGTTTATGGTGGCCTGGACACCAGGAGAGAAAGGGCCCACAGGGGAGAAGAACCGTCTGGGAATTGACTCCATTGATCCATCTTCTCCAGCCACACTCTACCTACATACATTATGACCTTGGCTGTTCATTCTAACTAGGAGGGACTGATCAGATCACAGCTCTCATAATCCGATCATTGCGGCATCCCTGTTTGATACAGGAGCTTTTGGGGGGACACCACATAGCCAAACCATACACTGTCACATATGAATATTTTATAAATATATGGAGATACAACCTACCTTTCACAAAATAGGTTTTATTTAATTATCAACTGACTCTATAAATTAAGTATCACAGTTCTCATTATAGAGTAGAAAATAGGTATGGATCAGTTAATTATTTTCCCCAAAGTAAAGACAGAAATAAATACTGGTATGAATTGAACTGACAGCTATTGGATCAAAAAGTTTGTGACTTTCCTTCCCACCATGGGAACCTCAAAACCTTTGTGTACCTGTTCTTCTATACTATTATCACTTTAGACACGCATCACTTATCCTTAGTTCTCTAAATATAAATTTTTCAACAAGATTATATTTACATGTATCAATGACTCATCACCTAATTTTGAAGTAATAAAAAATTTCATGTTCACT